GGCTGAATCCAGCACAGTTGCAAAATGTGGATCAGAACTGGAGTGTGAGGTAACATAAAACTCAGCTATTGGGCAGTTTATTTACCACATCTAATTATTTGGATTTAGATTTTGTCGTGGCTGCAAAATTGAGTGCACGGAAGACAGAGCTTGTGTTGGGAATGCTTACATTGCTGTAGACTGGGATCCAACAGCACTCCACCTGCGCTACCAGACATCGCAAGAACGGGTAAGGTTTCAACACAAAACCTTTGTTGGTTGTTAATAGCTCCAAAGCACAACCTATTTCACTTTTTTATTTTTTTATTTGATGCTTCTTTTGTCCATTTTCTGCTACACTAAAGTCAGTAATCATTAAGTAGTATATTCTGGATAAATTAATGTCTTAATGTTAGACCTCTTAAGTGACCATAATGTGGAAGGGAAGGTGCTAAGAAACCACAGCAGTGTATTTTCTGCCTGTTGTAAGTTGCTTTTGTCCTAGCCTCCACAATAACTTACAAAATATGTTAATTTGATGCATTTTCTAAGCACACCAGTGCTATAAACAGTTATGCAGGCGGATAAACCTATTTCCTCATTAAGTCAACAAAACATATCTGATGGTAAGCCTATAGCTGAGTTAAGCTAGAACAGCCATTCAGACTCATAAGTTGAATCGATAAACTTGTGCTTTATGGATACTTTTGTAAGCAGAACCCAAGAATAAGGACAGTATGTCTGCCTCTTCAGAACTGAAATCAAATTTCTGCTACAACTTAGTGCATCTAGTTTTTATCTGTAATCCTAAATGACTACATGATGTTATTTGTATGATACTGTGAATCGGGCCTGCCTCTGAGCAGTTTGTATGTTTCCAAGTCAGATACAGTTTTATCTCACTCTAGATTGTAGAAGAACATGAAAGTGTTGAACAAAGCCGACGAGCTCAAGCAGAGCCCATCAACCTGGACAGTTGTCTTAGAGCCTTCACCAGTGAGGAAGAACTAGGGGAGGATGAGATGTACTACTGTTCCAAATGCAAGACCCATTGTTTGGCCACCAAAAAACTGGATCTTTGGAGACTTCCCCCTATTTTGGTATGATCTTGTGTAATTTTCCTCTACAGCTTCAAAACCGAAGTACTTTAATCACAAATTTGAATTGCTAGGTATGTCTCCTTGTTCTGAAAAAGAGGATTTGCTTTTGTTCACAGTCTCAGGAGGGGCGTTGTCTTAGTTTGCTTCATAGGTTTCTGTAATGCAGGTAAATCAAACAAACCTCAAATCTTTTCAATTCTTTTTAGCTGATGTATTGCAGGAAATGGTGGTGTTTTGCCTTCAGCGTTGTCTGTTGTGACACAGAATTCATGCTTAGGCCGTCCTGCTGGTAACATGATTTTTTTTGTCTGGTTGTGCAACACCTGCATTTATTGCTTTTCAGATTTGGTAGGTTATTCAAAACACACAGTGCTGATCACTGAATCAAGGCCACCTATTCCATCATTTTGCCATGAAAATATTGGTTCCATATTTCACCAGTTTGATCCCCAAATCCAAGTTGTCACATACAGCGTTGTTACTGTTTTTTTATTAGCATATGCTAAAACATGTATGTTTAGGGAAAAATTATTTTTAACAGTGAAATTACTGGCTGTGATGTGTTTGTTCTCCTTTAATTTTCTCTAACACGTTTCTCCGTAGATCATTCACCTGAAAAGGTTTCAGTTTGTAAACGGCCGCTGGATAAAATCTCAGAAAATTGTTAAATTTCCCAGAGAAAATTTTGACCCAAGTGCCTTTTTGGTACAAAGGGATCCAAGTCATTTTCAAAGAAAGCAGCTAACGCTCCAGGTCGACAGCCTTCCCGAACCACGGACTCTCCAAGGGGAGTCTAGAAAAATAGATCTGCAGATCACTTGTACACCAGGAGAGGGAGATGCACTGAACAGAAGTCCATCCTCCCTTAACACTACTGTCTTGAATAATATCAAAGGTAGGTAATAATGAGGGAAAATTCCAGTCAATACTGGTATTTGGAGGGAGACCAAAAAATGTATTATGAAGAAAATTGTAATGTTTCTTTGGCCAAAGCACTATGCTTATAAGTTACTGGTTGACAACAGGTACTGGCACTGTCTGCTTGTGTGCCTGGGCTGGATGAGAGTGAGAGTGGGCTCCTGCCTCAGAGTGGAATTTCAGTTTATATTCGTGTGTGTGTGCACACCAAGATAGTTTTATGTTCTGCTTGTTAGTTGTAGTGAAACAACTGTTCTTTAATGTTTCATTATTCAAAAAAACACATTTTAAAAAAAAAAATCTAGACTACGTGTTTACTTATCTTAGTCCAAATGTTTTCTGTTTTAGCATCTCCGTCTTTGGGGAGGAAAAGTGGAACCAGTTGTCCTTCAAGTAAAAACAGTAGCCCAAATAGTAGCCCGAGGACTTTAGGAAGAGGTAAAGGGCGTCTGCGGCTACCACAACTGGGTAAAAACAAACTGTCAAGTAGCAAAGAAAATTTGGATGCAAGTAAAGAGAACGGTACTGACCCAGAGCAGAGATTTACTTCTGATCAAGGTGATGCTCTTACTAAAGGGCAGATTTTGGGTGGTAGTCAGAGTGAACTATATACTGCTCAGGACAATGAGATGACACTGGCCAACGGATACATCTGTGAGCAGAATGCATATAGCAACAGCAGCATCAACGGTCAAATTGATAACCACAGTGAGGACGATACTACAGATGACCAAAGAGAAGACGTATGCGTTAACCCTATTTACAACCTATATGCAATTTCAGTAAGTTGGACTTTTTATGCTGGTAAGCTTATCTTTATGTGGCATTGTTTTGACTAAATGCATTTGCTCAGTTGGTTTCATTACAAAAAGCAAGGGTCTGTTGGGCAGGAGAAAACAGTAGAGCCACTGTCAGCAAAATAAATTTGCCATAAAACTGAGTACAACTGAAAAGTAGCTGTCTGCATCGTGGTTTTTCTGCTTGGGTATATAAGCAGAGTCAGCTCCGGATGTATAGATTGTCATGAACTGTTGTCACTCACCTAAAGAACATGAATTTGTGAATCATTTGATCTGTGAGTCCTGAGTTTTGATGTTTGATCCAGAATTCATTTTCTTCTTTGTTTTCTTCAGTGCCATTCAGGAATTATGGGAGGGGGTCATTATGTCACTTATGCCAAAAACCCGAACAACAAGTGGTACTGCTACAACGACAGTAGCTGTAAGGTAAGCCCTTCACTTTTGTAACAGTAATTTTCACGGTCATTACCCAGAGCCACAGAAATACATTTGGTAAGAACTGGTTTTTGAAATAGCGAGCATCTCAAAAGTTGCATTGGTTAAATATTGAAACTGTTAACTGAAATGGTCCGTGAGATTTTTTCCAAGTTAACATCTGTTCATCAGCTGTTGCCATGGTTAAGGAAAGATTCTTACTATGTACAGAGATGGCAAAATTACTAAAATGGGAATTCCAAGAATATTTTTTCATGATGCCAGCATTTTTGTATTCAGTTACTGAACCAATTAAGTTCCTAAGTATTTGCATTTATCACTACAAAATTTGTCATACTTCAAGTATGACAAAAATGGAGCCTGGGAGCTATAAGAAGGGAGACAGAGAATGGGATTTTTCTTGTGGTAAACAGCCAGCTAAATAGACTGTTTCTAGGGCAATTACGTGTGGTTTAGGTTCAGTGGCAGTACCAGTTGTCCTGTTGCGTACTTCAGACGGCGTTGTTCTCTTTCGCAGGAATTGCATCCCGATGAGATCGACACCGACTCTGCCTACATTCTGTTCTATGAGCAGCAGGGGGTAGACTATGCACAATTTCTGCCAAAGATAGACGGCAAAAAGATGGCAGACACGAGCAGCATGGATGAAGATTTTGAGTCGGATTATAAGAAGTACTGTGTTTTACAGTGAACAGATGAGCTTCCACGGACCGTTTTGAAAACGTGAGGGATAGCGTCCTGCAACTTACATTTGGCGAAAAATGTTATTGAAACAGATAACCTGAGTGTAGTTATTGTACCCTGTGATCTGAAAGCACAAACAGAACCCCCTAATTAAATAGCAGTTAATATGAAGATAGTACTGTTTTGTTCCGTTATCTCTACATGCTCTAAAACGTTTCTGATGTTAGACATCAGGCTGAGACTGCCATTGGCCTTTAAATAAAATGGTTTGAGAAAAGCCGACTAGGACCAAATAAGAGCTAAATTAAATAGTCCAGATAAGAGCAAAACAAAGTAGTGTAGAGTTTACCAACTGTTCTAACAACCCCCCAAGGCTCTCTTTAGGTTTAAGATAATGGGGAAAAAAAATGTAGTGTTGTCTTTGGGCAACATGATATTGCTACCTCCTTTTTCCTGCAGTTTTATTGCATTTTATTGGCAAAACGGGGAAAGCAAGAGAATGAAGAGTGCACAAGTATGAAGGATTATCATCAGGAGTAGGAGAAGTTTCCAGTTTTGCCACCACTAATGTGTGTCACTTGCTTTCTTTCTGTATGTTGAGAGCACAACCAAATCATAATTTGAGAAGAGATTAATTTCTACACTTGAATGGTTTGTTATAATTGTTTTCTCCACGAGTTGGCTGTGCAGATCAACATGTTTCAGGAATGGCTTTTCTGCCTGAAGAGTGCTATCTCAGACTTCTGAGATGCCTCAAGAAGGAGCTTCAGGTTGAAGAGAGTAGTTGTGATTACACGTATGGTGTCTTAAAATGTGCACATTGCACAAAATGTTCCCAGCTTTTGGAAAGAAAGATGCTTGAGCTTATGTTTCATGACTGGTGTTGCTTTTAAATTTGCACTTTTAAAAATTCAAATAATTAAATTCAAAAACATAGTTTGTTTTTGTTGTTGTAAGGGCTCTGGAGTGAATGGCTGTGAATTATCCACTGTGTATTTCAAACAGATAAGAAGCTGTGGCTGTCAGGTAGCTATCGTAGCATTCATGGATGGGGTTTGTTATTGGTTTCATAATTTAATGGAGTTTCTTTTTTTCAAAATTTGGTTGCCTTTTCAAATTTTCTTTTTTTTTTTTGCAACAGGTGATGCGTATACTTGCAATTAAACAGAATTGCTTTCTGTGCCCTTGCAACATGCTCTTTTAAGTCAGCAGGCTTATGGCATGAAGGAAAGCATGACTGAGTCTTAGCAGAGACTGGAAAAAAGATAGTTTTTTGAGTAGGCATTTCTTCCAACACTTTCAGTGTTAAACTGTTTGCATATCTGAAGGAAGATAAAATTTTCACTCTTTCGGCCTTTTGTTCTTCAGCTGAGTCTAAAGACCTTACTAATTTTGTCACATGTCATCTTCCAAATCCTCTAGATTTCGTATCTTCACTAACAAAATTGATACTTACACGGTTGATCTCTGAAACAAATGTTTGGATTCCTTTTTAATGTGTTTTACAAGAATGCCAAACGTACTAGTAAGTTTATAATTTCCAGAAAAGTCTGAGTTTTAGCCATTTAAGAAATTATATCAGCTGATCTGGCTGTCTTTACCCAGGCAAAAACCTCCCTGCCTTTGTTGGAGGTGGTGCCCCTGAGGAGAGCAGATCGGTTCCAAAATGGGTATTGTCTTACTTGTGAAGTGTTGCTCCCTGCCCTAGATGGTCTTTTATCTTTAAAGGGTCTAAACATTGAGACTGAAGAAAAGCAAACATGACTTGTGAATTTCTAGGTGAGAAGCTTTTTCAACACCCGTTTGTCTACTCCTCCCTACGCAAACTCCATGAAAAGCGAAAGATTTTCAACTGATCTACTTTAAAATGTTTTATTTAAGCAGGTAGCACAATCTACTAATGTTATTTGATCTTCTGTGTTTGTTACATTGGTTGTAATTAATTTTTTTAATTAAATTAATTCATTAATTCGTAGTAAATTTATTAAGTTAACTATTAACTACATTCACTTTGTAAATTATTGTATAAAACTTATGACAATGCACTGACTTTAGAGAGATGTTAATGTACATAAATACCTTGTAAATAAAATAGTGTTGATGTACTGGAATATGAGCTGTATTAAAAAAAGGTATCGGTAATTGTATATGGAGTGAACCTGTTTATCTGTAACTATATTATTCAAACGAATTAAATACTGTGGATGCAGATGAAGTGTCACTTCTTGTCAGATAATTTTTAATAGCTGGTTTCCTTCTTTGAAGTTTTGATTTGTCAGTCCAGAAGATGGGAATGTGTGAGTAAGCATACAGCAGTTCTTCGCAGTTTGTCCAGCGGAGCACCTAGTTCTAAGGACCAAGATATTTCAGCTGTTCCTTGGTTTTAAGTTATTTTAGTTTCCCTTTGAAGAACATTCTGTTCTGGTTTTTAGAATTAGTCCCTTTAATCCTATTGGAAATGTGTGACTGCATGAGAGTGAGACTTTTCCTTCTTACAAATGAGTCTGAAGAGCTGGCACACTGAACCACGCATTGAACGGTTCTCACGTTTTTCTGTGGGGTGATTCTGATAGATCTGAAATGAAATCAGTGGGGACTTAAAAGCACCAGTGGCTGTACATGGGATCCCTCCTTACCTGCCACTGACACCCTTCTGCAGGTTATTGAAGTGGGGGGGCAGGAATTGAATGTCTTTTTAAATATTTAATTGCTTAATTTTTGTGCGGGTACTGGGACAATGAGGAGCTGAGCTGTAATCTTTTTATTGCAGGTTCTTGTGCTGTGGAAAATAAGGCTGCTTTTGAGTTTAACAGGAAAGTAGGTAAAAAAAGATTTGCTTCAAAATGTTCCAGAAAGAAAGGGATTGTAAGGAAATCACTCAGTGATTTCCATCGTGGGAGGGTTTGATAGGAAGCTGCGAGACAGGGGTTTTACTGGCAGGTGCAGAACTGTTGGGGCAGCTGGCCCTGGGGCAGGGGCAGTGCAGGGTGCCACCAGCGCTGCCTGTGGGAGCCGGGGCACACCTCTCCTGACACGCAATCACGGAAAAACTTCTTATCCTCTCAGAATGAGAAAATAACTGAGTTGGTTCGCAGTGGGAGACATCTGCATGTTGCTTATTAGCGTAGGGGTTTGCCTCACCAGGGGGAACAATTTCTGAATTTCCAGTTCTGCGTGTAACAACAGAACCTGAAGTAAAGGTCACTTAGTACTCCTGTGCGTTGTCATGTGTTTAATTGTTCTTGTATTGATCAACAGGCATCCTGGGTCAAGCTGAACATGAGTTTCCATTGGATAGAACCAGCCCTCGCCAAGTACGGTTCATGCAAAAGACACAGAAGCAGAAGGAAAGATGCAAGTTAAAAAATAAATACAGTGCGTAGTAACAGGCCAAGAAATAATGTGTCTGTTCTGCTTCAGCGTTGGTGCCTCGTCTGCTCCTGAGCCGTTTGCGTAGGTGGAGGACGAACTGTGACGCGCCAGCGAAGGAAAGCCTTTCCTGTAGCTAAGGAAGAGTGAGACACTGCAACACAGGCAGTCATTTCCTCACATGTTTTGTGACCTGGTAAGTCTGTAAAATCACGGAATAACTGGGACTGGAAAAAAGGTCACCTGCACCATCTAAATGTTGAAAGTAGACCTCGGTCCGTGCGTTGTACTGGTTCCCTGTGCTCTGGCTGTGGTCCCTGCACAGGGAGATGTGTTTGGTTCCATTTTATTTTCCTTTGTAGGCTGTGGCAAACGTGCCGCTACACTGAAGGGAAAAATCTTGGTGCCATCCTGAAGCCCACGTTCACCTGTGGAAATAAGTGGAGTTTCATACAGACAGAGACTAGCAGTGGCTTTTTAGGAAGATACACTCCATCATGAATCCAGCTTGCTGTGAGGTTAATGCTAACGGGAGAAAGTCCTTGGGAAAATGGATACAAGCTGGGTTTAGCAGGGTAAATTCTGCTGGAGATCTGGCTCATTTGACATGTTACTGCTAGAGAGCACACTCCCTGCATGATTCAGATGGTTACACTGAGTTCTGAAAAGGAAAGGAAGAAAGGGAATGCTCTGTTTCAGAAAATAGGCTTTTTAGTCAGAGTTGAATATGGGATTTCTTATAGAATCTTTTCCATTCACGATGCACTTGTTTGTTGATATTATTTTCGTGTATGCCAGTGTAGCTTAGGTGTTTCCTATGGCTTGGTTGTAGTTGATGCAGGACCTAAGGCTAACCAAGGGGTAAGTCAAAGGTGAAAATCTTTTGCTGAGACACTGGAGGGGTAGCAACTCTGAGACAAACATACAGGAGTGAGAGGTCAAAATGGATCTTGCTGTTGCTTGGACATGTGCGCTTGCAGATAGATTGCAGTTCAGAAGTAAAATACACCTTCAGAAGGTGAATCCAGTTGTTGGTTCATGGAATTTCTGAAAAGAAAGGAAACAGTAACTCCGGTAACTGGGGTAAGCAGACTGTACTGGAACTGTGTTTTCACCTGAAATTCTCGCATTGTTTACAAATGGTAAGTTTGATATTTTCTCAGTTGTTCCATGTTCAGTATTGCTTTGTTAATAATGACACATTTCTTAGAAAACAATCTGTTTCAAAAGTGAAATGATCACTTACATACGTGCAGGTTTTGCTCTCAGAAACAATGTCTGTGAAACCAGGATCTGAAGGTACTTTGTGTTCAGTCTTGGAGTACCGGTGTGTTCCTGCTGCTGCTTCTAGGAGTGTTTGCTCACGTATTTTCTTCTTGATTGCATGTAGTGTTGAGACATTTCCTCTGAGCAGACACTGGCTATGAGAGACTGACTGCAATTACAATCATGCTTTTTTCCAAAAAGGAAGTAGATCTGGTTGAGTTGGCAACTGGACCAAAGTCCACAGCAAGCTGGTCTGTCCAGCATCACGTATTGCATGGGGTTGTTTGGGTTTGGTATGTTTCCAAAACCAGTATGGTTATGTTTAGCTGGAAATAAATTCTTGTGCTTATTGTATGGCCCTTGAAGAAGACACTAAATGTATAGTTAACCAAGGATGATGGGAGAAGCTAGTGTCTGTGGAAATCAAGCCATTCCTTGCTACATTTATCAGCTGCTATGGGTGCATTCGTGCAGCATTAGATGATGACACTTGCTCAATGCAGTCGTTTTTACTGCCTAGTGATACATTTTCAGAGCATTCACAGTGGTGGTTCTTCACAAGTGTGATAATTCCGCTGTGTCGTTTGAGTGATTTGTACATTTTCAATAATGAAAATTTAGGTTGAATCAAAGAATGTTCTCTGTGTTGTTCCTATCATGAA